TTATGTATGACAAGTTTGACACCACCTATCAGGTTATCGATCCCCTTTCCCTTCGATTTCGTGTGCTCTGTTTGCATCTGATCTGTGGATTCTGTTGCCATTGGCTTTTGATCAAATGAATTCCGTGTCTTTTGGTTTTTTTTGTTGGGGTGTAGAAGGTTAGAGTTTGGGTATGCGGTTCTTCGATTGAGATTCATGAACTGGGTTATCTTGTTTTGGATTAGGACGGGTTGAGATTTCTTGATCTGGGAAACCATAAATACTTGAGATTATCTAGTGAATTTGTTCTCTTTTATGGATCTCTTATAGTCTGCATGATCCAGATCCTCCATGTGACGTACTTTCTTGTTCATTGGCTGATATTTCTAGTGGAATTATGGGGTTATTTCTTGCACGATGGAAATGATATATAGACATATATATTCTCTCCTTCCAAAATAGTTTTGAATTGCTGCGGTAAATTTTCACATGATTGAGAAATCGGAATCTGATGCTGGATTGGGATAATATTTGTTATATGAAATTTACTGTGTTTTTCGGCAATCAATAATCTCTTGTAACTTGAAAGGAAATTCTATATTTTGAAAAATTCTGTTCAAGTGGCGTAATTATTGGTTGAGGCTTCTGTCAATGTGGGTATGTTGAGGGTTATCCATCATTCATTTTATATTTTAGAAAAGGTTTGTCTTATTCAGACCCTGACCTTCAGTTACGATGAACGGAACCTAACAATTGATCCAAGCTGTCTCTCTTGGATGGGAAGTATGGCAAATGCGATGATGAAAGCAAGGGATGTGGAAATAATAGGTTTTGGATGTTGTTTTGATTGCTTTGTGGGTGAGAGAGACACAAAACAGAAAAGGTTAGTAGCAAGAGATAGATCGTGGTTTTTAACAGAAAGTGGACCCCTTGGCTCACTGATCATAAATGGTATAGTTAGTGGCTTGAAATAATAACAAAATACTAATCTCAATCATCAACTTTGCCTAATAGAGATTTTAACGACTATTTGTAGAGATGGCATAGCCCAACAATTACTTAACAATCCTTGCAAATTAAATAAAGACAAAATAGTCCTAGCATAAAGAAATGACATAAAAATCTGTAAAAAAGAAAAAAAAAAGACATAAACAGGATGAGAAGATCTTAATGCGTAATCTAATGTAATATCTTGTGGAAGACCAATGGCAATGGTGAATGGCTCAATAGGATCCAAGCTTGTGAGCCTTAAAATTGAATGCTAACTGTAAGTTGGCTTACTGGAAGAATTCCTTAGAATTCAAAGTGAAATGCTTGGCCAATTTAAATTGATGAATAATAAATTAATGACGATCATTCTTAACTATGATCAATCCGATGCCCAATCCCATATTTCTATCATGCATGTAAGATGCAAAATTATAAAATAAAGACGATTTATGTTATCAACATATTATGTTGCTTGAAAAGGAATGATGCTAGGTAAAAATGACTGTGCTTTACTGTTGACTAGTATTCTTAAAATAGCTCAAAGTTTTTTGAGAAAATGTGAAACATTATGTTGTGTTTGGGAACTTCATAGAGTGGCGGTGTTATTTACAAAAATTTTTGAAATCATGAGATGTCTCAGCTACCTTTGAAGTGTGCTGGAAAAATGAAACTGAGGCACGTCCAAGAATACTAGAGCATGCACCGGTTAGTTGTTTTTTATGCAATTGTTGAAAAGGCTTGTAAAACACTTAAATGTGAGTAAATCCATAATTGGAAAGATTCATACTAGTTTGTGATACATTCCGGAATACATTTCTCACAAAAATCAGAGTAAACACATATTTTATTTCAGAAACACCAAAATTAAATTAATACAACACCAAACATAAAACTAAGCACCTACATATCGAGAGGAAGGTGATTCTTCCAAATCCTATAATTTGAGAGGGAGGAAATCTCCCTAAAACCTTAACCCTAAGACTCAAGACCTAATCTACTGCACAACCCTAACCCTAAACTATTAAACCCTATTTATATAAAAAAAATAATAAAAAAGACTAAATTGCCCTTAGGCTAATAAAAGACATAATTGCCCTTAGTCTAGGCAACGACGTAATAGTACCCCCCTCTCAAAAAATTACATTATCCTCAAGGTGAAAAAAGTGAGGGTGTTCCTCCTCCACCACAGCCTTCTTTGTTTTTGCATTCCCTGGCTTTCCATCACACACTGTGAGAATTTATAGTATTAGATCCTTGTAATAGTATTTTAGGGAAAACTTCTTATCACATCGAAAACATAACTCATTGGCTTGCTTCTTTTGGATCTCTGTCTTTGTAAGACGCTTGAGTGTCGTTCTTGGTTGTTAGTCATTATTCTTTTCCTGTGGAGTCTTCCTCTGAACTTTCACTATTTAAGTTTTCTATCATCATGGTTGTAGCAGTTTAGTATGACGCTCCATCTGTGGTGCTCCTATTGGCCCGTTCCACTTGGTTTTTATTTTCAACTATTTGCGCTAATTTTATAGTTTCTCCCAAGCCTCATGGTCTTAACAGACGAACATATATGTCAGTTTTTTGGTCCCTTCATGAAATTTTCTCCCAATATTGCTTAAAAAATCCTCATCGGCTGTCCTGACAATAGCTTAAATTTTCCCTTACACTCCATAACAGTCCCTTCTTGAGTCAATGCAATGAATTGCTCGTATAGGTCTTCTTTCCAAATGACTCAGAAATATTCTAACAAACTCCTCCCACAAGCGGATCGAGTGTCTATCCTCCCTCTATTGAAAAATGCTAGCGCTTTCCCCTCCAAGTATAACTTTTCCAGCTTTAACTTCTCCCCATTTAGCCCATTCGCGACAAAATATCGCTCTGGGTCACCCGGTTCACTCACCCATGTGTGTCTTCCCCATCGAAGATCGACATCTTCAACTTCCCCACCCTAGCATCTCTACCCCCACTTTCTCTCCCTCTGGTGTAACCCCCATGCATTGAGGGTAAAATTCTTTCCTTCGATCATAGTCATACCTCATCCCGGCTTCTCTCCTTCCTTATTTGTGCTCCATATTTTTTGCATAACCCCTTCTTCATGTTTTGACCCAACTCTTTTATCAGAATTCTCTAATTCACCCCCCTTCGGAGCTCTGGGAGGGGGTTCTTAATGGTTGACGTTTTCCTCCTTGTGTTCCTCTCATTCGATCTCTTTCATTTTCAATTTAGCCAAGGCTTCTCCTATTAACCATTGGTTAGTTTTTACAAATTGAATCGCTGTTGAGAACTTTGATTCTCTCAAATCGGCTTTCAATGAATGAAACCTTTTCATCTATGACTGAGAACCTTTTCAGTATCCCAGATTTGGTTTGGCTCACCTCTTTCTTCAGTTTATCCTTCAAATCATTTATTTTTTTGGCTGTCATTACTCCCTATAAGGTTTTGGAACACCTTTAAGACGCGATCCCATTGTTGGCTTCATCGGTAGCCTGAGTCGATGTTGTAAGGTGAGATCTTAAGCTGCAATTCTGTCAAATCACTTGAATAGACTTGCAACTTAGGAAGATGTTGTAAGCGATTCCAATAGGCGAAAGCGACTCCTATATGCCGCAATCTCTTCTCGCTTCCCCACTAGCTCTAACTGTGTTGTATCGCATGGTTTAGTCATGCGGTCAGTCTTCTGTATGTCACGATTAAAATCAGCTTCCCAATAAGTACCTGCGATCCTGTCTTTATCATCCAGCTAGGTCGAATCGCAACTGTATCACACAGGTCTATATGTCGCAATCCTGTTGGTCTTCTTAGCAAGCTTGATCAGAACGGTATCTTCACGACACAATCCCATCGTCGCTTCCTTGCTAGCTTGATCACGACTATATCAGAACTTCCGTGCGATTCAATCGATCTATATGTATACCGCAATCCTCTTTTGTGAGCCGATAACCATATTTTCTTCCCTAATTCTCATATCGATGCTCTAATATCACTTTGATACGGTCCGGAATAAATTTCTCATAGAAATCAGGGCAAGCACATATTTTATTTCACGAACACCAAAATCAAAGTAATAATACACCAAACATAAAGAGAAGTACCAACAATTCGAGAGGTAGGTGATCTCTCCCAAATTCTATAATTCAAGAGGTTGGAATTCTCTCTCAAACTCTAATCGTAAAACTCAAAACTCAATCTTATGCATAACTCTAACCCTAAACTGTTAAGCTCTATTTATACCGAACAATAATTGATAATAAAAATTTAAGGGTTTGTTTGAGGCAGCTGCAACTTATTAAATAATCTGTTGATAAGCTGATTAAAAATAATTTGCAAATAAGCTAGGTACGGTTGCTATTACAAATTTTTATATTTTGGGAAAAGACAAACCACAGCCAGAAAGCTGCCACCGCAACTAGATAGGTGCGGTGTGAAAACTTTGATTTCAGCGTTTTGAAAACGCATAAACTGCCAGAATGCAGTTTACCCAAACGCCACGTGTGTTTTCAAAACGCCACCGCACTAATAAGTTGCCCCAAATTGGCCCTAAATTTCCCTTAGGCTAATAAAAGACAAAATTGCCCTTAGGCTAAGCTCTAGCATAACAGTTTGCTGCCACATACGAGGAGTCAAAATGCTTCACACAAATGGAGGTAGCAGAGGAAGAATGCAAATCATATAAAAAGAATATGTTACCATCATGTCAATAGATAGACACAAAGCAATCAAAAAGCATCAACACTTGTTGGTTAATAACTTGTTAATTGTTTATTGACGAAAGTTCAGAAATGTACTCTCATGTGTTTGCATGTAGTGTGTGATATTATTTGTGAACCGGTGGACCCATCCTTACATTTAATTTTTTATTTTTCTCATCGCTTTTCTTCACTATGACAGGCTACAATCGGCATCGATTTTCTTTCAAAGACAATGTACCTTGAAGATCGGACAATCCGCCTGCAGCTATGGTAGGATGCTGAATTTACTCGATTTCATTCATATGCTAGTTTTAATTTTATTTTGATGGTAAGAAATTTAACATCTATGTCAATATTAATATGCATAAACTTAGCTTAGAGGCTGCAGTAAATCAAGTTTGAGAAAGCTGATTGTAGTTAACCGAAGTTGTTATAGCACTTATTGATTCAAGGCTCTAACATATCATGCTTCTTTTTTCATTCTCTTTTTGTTAATTCTTTTTTTGTTGTTCTTGTGATGCATTATCTTAAACAGTTTGAACATCGTTTCTTTCCTTTGGGTCCTTAACGTGAAATAATGATTCTATAATCCATTGTTATAGTAGTTGGTTGGGTGAATTCGCAAATCTAGTTTATAAATCCAAATGTGTTTTGGTCTGATCTTCAACTGAATGAACATACTAAGTCTAACAATAGATTATTGTGGCGCTACAGCAGGCAATTGATTGTGGCTAGTCAATGCACTCTCAAGGTTCACAGGGATCAATAAGAGAAAGATTAAGCGTATCTATCCTAGAGATTTCCCTTGAATGAATGCGAGTTTATACAAAGTTTTTCTGAATTATGGGGGTCATGATTTCCCAGTGTAATTTCTTAAATTTAATTATATCTCGAATATATTCGAGATTTCTCTCATCTATGCTCAAGCTAGGGAGAATGAAGGTGTAGAATGTCTTAAAAACTAAATAAGCTTGAAGACATGAAAACAGATGCAAAAGAGGGCTTACAACTCCACATTGATTGGAGGGAGGTGCCAAGGCTAGACTTATAGTTCCATGTGGTGATCCTTGCCTAGATGAAAAAAAATGACTGAATGCAGAAATGGGAGGACTAACTTAGTAGAGAAATTGATGGCTTTAGTCAAAATTCCATGGTTTTATTGTTCTAGGCCATCAATCTCTCTAGGCAACTTGATCGTGTAGTGATCTGAGGATCCTTGCTAGCAAATATTCTATGTTAGGATAGAACCAGATAAATTTTTTGATGCAAAGAGGGGTATTAATACCTATTACCAGATCTATTAGTAAGGAAAGAATTAAATAGAGGATATAGTAGAAAAGGAAAGGAATAATAAAGAATCCAAGCAAATAATTCAAATTAAACATGAATTATTAATGGCTAAAACTAGCCATTAATAAATATTTTAATACTCCCCCTCAAGTTAAAGCATAGATGTTAGTCATGTTCAACTTTGATTTGAAATCGTTGAATAGTGACCGAGGAAGGTTTTTTGTGAGAATATTTGTCAGCTGGTCACCAGATGACACAAATGAAACACAAATTTTCTCGTACTCGAGTTTTTTCTTAATGAAGTATCGGTCAATCTCAACATGCTTGGTGCGATCATGCTGGACTAGGTTGTGAACAATGCTAATGGCTGTGTTGTTATCACAGAACAACTATAAGGGAGCAAAGATTGTCATACGTAGTTTGTGGAGCATGATACGTAACCAGAGAGCTTCACAATTTTCGAGGGACATGGACCGAATTCGGCTTTTGCACTGCTCCAAACAATTACAGACTGTTTCTTGCTTATCCCCTTGACCAGGTTTCCCAACATAAATGCACCTCGAGGTAGATTGTCGATTATGGACAGACCCGACCCAATTCACGTTTGTGTAAACTGCAATTAAAAAAAAAGGTATGACAGGAAAAAAAACAAAACTGAGCCCGGTGTAACTTTTAAATAGTGGAGAATCCGGTGGACAACTTGAAGGTGGTGCATGAATTGACCGACTATCCCAATACAAGGCAAATGTCGGGGTGTGTATGGGCAAGGTAGATGAGTTTCCCCATAAGGTGCTGGTAGTGAATCTTGTTTATAGAAACTCCATTGGGAACATCAAGAAATTTTTTATTGGGATTCATCGAGACAGTCGTTGGTTTGCACATGTGAAGATTGCTCTTTGTGAAAAGGTAAATCATATATTTCTGTTGAGATACGAAAATACCTTGAGAGGACCGAGCAACTTCCATGCCTAAGAAGTACCAGAGAGATCTCAAGTCTATCTCAAGTCTTTCATTTCAAAATCTCAAGTCTTTCATTTCAAAGAAAGCAGTAACTATACCTTTTAGAGACTTCAATGTTGATAGATTATTACCTGTGAGAACAATATTTTTAAACTGTGATACAATGCTAGAATTGAACCAGAATCTATAACTCAGAATAAACAAAAATTAATAATAGCTAAAATAGAGGATATAGTAGAAAAGGAAAGGAATAATAAAGAATTCAAGCTAATAACTCAGAATAAACATGAATTGACAATGGCTAAAACTAGTCATTAATAAATATTCTAATATTATAATTCTTATCAAAAAGATATTTTGTGCAAAGGGTGTGGACTTAGTTCTAAGTTGATAGATGGAATTTATACTTCATTACCATGTGAGAAAAAAACCCACACTTAGGTGGTAGTATCGCGTGTAACAGTATTGTTAGGGTTGATAAGGTTGCCTAAGCTCTAAAGTTGAAGTGTAGGAAAAAGGGTACTTTCTCCATTTTTCAAATATGACATTTAAAATGAGAATCATAGCTTAATCATATAGGATGAAAAAGCATGGACTATGTTCTCAATATAATAGAGAAGGGTAAGAAAAAGAAGGTATTTTATCCATACTGCAAAGAGGACATTTAACCAATTGGGATCAAAAAGTCCAAAATTATTATCTAAGTGATAGTGTATATACAAAAAAATTGGTTGGCGCGGCTTACAACTTGATCTCTTATGACCAAGAAATCAAGAATCTCCTCAATATGGTAGATGATATACATTAAGACAGAGAGAATGAGAATTTTAGTTTAATCTTGTGGGATCAAAAAGGCCCTAATTATCGTTTCAATATGTAGAGAATAAACTTACAGCTTGACCTTATGGTATGAAGCAAGCTCATAAAAGTCTACTTAATGTGATAGAAAAGACTTAAAAGATGTTAAAAATGAGGCTTGCAATATGCTTGCATTGATGAAGATGCAGGACAATCCCCTAAATATGGGAGGAGATACATAATGATTGTAAAGAATGAGACTTACATCCCAATCTTGTGTGATCGAGAGGTCCAAATATCTTTTTAACGGCGCAGCGAAGATATTGAAAGAAGGGAAGGATGAGACTTACAGATTAATAGTGTGGGATCATGCAAACCTTGACATTTTCATGTACCAGGGAAAATATAAAAAATGAGACTTACTACTTAGCACGAGTGACAAAACCAATGGATTGAACTTTTATCCTATGTTAGAAATAACTTTTAACCACTTAGCATATAAAAAAAGGGGTTCATAAATCAAGATGATTTGAAGGGAGAGAGGCACGCTAGAGTTAAGCTCATGAAGGACTTATTTGTGATGCTTTTTAATGTCTAGTTATCTCTCTTAAGGTGAAGTTTCATCTATATATATGCTCAATGAGCTATCTTGTGATATGAATCAACTAGAGTTTGAGGTTGTTAGGACCTTATGTTTATACTTAAAAACGATGAGTGAAAAGCATAAACCATATATACTAAAGCATAAACCATATATACTAAAGCATAAACATGGAGAATTCATTTAGTCCTATTTTTATCTTGCATTTTTTAATATAGAAGTACTAGAATCTGACATTGTCCTAAAACAATCCTAGATCACATCACTTCATATCGTAGGAAAGGATATATGTAAAAAAATAAAGCATAAATTAATGCAGGCAAAACAAGTAGTAAAAAATGGAGCATTGATACAATAACTACTCATTCCTCAGGGACTACTATCCTAGGTCTTATACAAAACAAATGTTCGTAGCAAGTATGTCATCACAACTAATTAAAGCATATCACAAACCTATCTTATTATATTAATAGCATCAACATCAAGATTTAGTAGATACAACCAGACCTACATCAATATCAGTAATGTGCAGTACAGGGGCTCATCATATGAGTGCAGATGTCTAAAGTGTGATAAAGACCAACCTCACCATGCTCAAACGAATGTCAAGGGTTTGTAAAGCTAATGGTCGGCTACGTGGCTGTATGTTCTTGTAAGATTGGCCATTAGAGTTAAGTAGTAGCATGCTTGTAGTCAACTGGGTGAGTTTGCTTGAGGCTAATGATAGGTTGCACAAATGCATATGATACTGAGGTCAATCATTAGCATGAAATAGTGTCACACACATGGTCAACGTTATCAAGGTGTGTCTGCTAATTGCTTGTTGTGCTAACACATATATTTGTGAGGCCTATCGCTAGCATAGAAAATGACACGCACATAGTTGGTAGACTCCCTAGGATAGGACATAGTTTAATTGATGAGTTTAGTGGTGCATGCGCACTGGAGTGTTGGCAGTCCTCCTGGATCACCCTTAGGCTGAGCTAGTGCTTTGGCGAATGTGAGTTTAGGATGTCATTGTGACAATCATTATGTCCCTTTCTCAAACTAGTAAATTGTCCTCATGTTAACAAGAACATAATGTTCCTAATTTCATCACAATATGTAGAAAACATAGCATCATCTCGCCATACAGTATCGAGTCCTAATGTTAGGTGGATAGTTATTATGGTGCCATAAACTTGTTTGCCCATAAAAAGAGAACCCACATGCTAGTCAGGGGATCACGTGGTGAGCTCAAACACAATGCCTACAACTAACATAATATCGAACAATTATTCAAGCATGCATTTCAGGGAGTATCAAATGCCCTATCACACTCCATGAAACAGAAAATATGTGATCGATAAGTGTGCATAAAATCAATGAGCAACAAAAATATGTATGCAGGAAATCAATTAGCTATGACATTTATATAATGGTCTAACAATTTAATCTTTGCGTCGGTGGGACTCAATGCATGTATGGCTCTTGATATGGGCTTATTTGAGTTTGGCTGCATATTCTTGTCAAGGAAAATAGGTAGAAAAGGTTGTCATGCTTATACTGCTAGTTTTATTCTTGGTTATTGATGTGATGGCTGAATGTGTGTAGGTAGAGCCAGTTGATCTAGAGGGGTTTG